TATTTGTTGTCAGAGTGCAGCGCACAGAGCTCCTGCTGCCGCTCCACAACTCAGATATCCTTCTGCACAGATTTGTGACACTTTATTAATGATTATAAAGGCATTTAGATGCACAACTTTACGGACTCGTTCATTCATGTTTTCACGTTTATTGCGCTGTTCATATTAGTCTCGATGTTTGCAGTTTTCTGGAGCGCAACACGTAGCTCGACGTAATTAGAGGTAATATATTAACTTGACATTATCAAAGACACAGCGGGACGAGTCATCCGGGGAATGATGGACAGGGAGAGTCTGACTAAAACGACCTGGATGACAGACTAACTCTGGGATTTATTATGTGTCTCTGCTTATTTCCAAGCCCAAATGAGTAACTTCACGTTCAATAACGAGCCCCAAAAAGCGCAACCTGCGACCCATTAAATTTGCAGACGACTTTAGAAACAAAACAAGCCCAAAGCCGCTTATAATAATCGGACTTTGCGACAGAAACTCAAAATAGTTCCTGTTTTTCCAGCTTCAAAATGCGCATCTCTCTCCTCCATTGTTTACGTTTCTGTGCTGCTGACACTGAAACGGCGATCACTCCCCAAGACGCGTAAATAAAAAAAAAAAAAAAAAAAAAAAGTAACACACAGTAACGCAAAGTGATTTCTTAAAGTAACTGTAGTCTGACTACTGGATTTGAAATAGCAACGCGTTAGATTACTCGTTACTGAAAAAAGTGGTCCGACCTCAGTAATGGGTTACCATGTAGCGCGTTATTGACGTCACTGCATCTAAGCAGTCTACAAGTTCGGCAGCCAGTAAAGCAGCTGCAGCATTGGCACGTTCAGAAGCAGTGAAAACTGAAGCAGCATTTGTTGAGAAAGAGATTAAACTGAGGACACAACAAGCAGAGCTTGAGGCCTCAACACAGCTTCAAAAAAATACATTTAGAGGCTTCACTGGATAAAGTTCATTCACAGAAAAAGGCTGCAGCTGCAGAGGCTAAAGCAGAAGTCTTAGAGTTAGCTGTGGAACAGCTTATTTAGACCTTCTGTGAAATAGAAGTTCCAAATGAGGATCCAGAATTACGCACAAAGGAATATGTAGAGGGAACTATCCAAAGTGAAGGCACTCTTGACATGCCTAAAATAAAAACGTATTAATGTGATGCAGACCTGCAACCAACCTAACATGGACTTGTACATGACTCTGATCACAGAATCTGCGCACCAGAAAAAGGATTGTCAGTTCAGCCAAACTCAGAAGATGCCATAGCAACACAGGCTCAGAATCAAACCATGACAGTTGGATCCAATAACCATTTCACAAAGCAGTCAAGATTAAATGGAAAATCTATGCCAAAAATTGAGCAAAACGCAAATTCTTTGGAGAATCTAAGACACTTTCTACAGTAGGACAGACTATAGAAAAAGCACTGACAACTTGCCTTTGTCACAGAATGCTTGCTACACCAATTATGGTCCACAAATGAGTCAAGGGAATGAAAGTAAATGCATGTCAGACCTTGTTAGGTTCATTGCACAATGTGAGCTAGTCTCCACTGGTCTCACACAGTTCAATTACCGTCCTGAGTGCTTTAGGGCCTGGAGAGCATCCTTTTTGAGTGCCATCAGAGATTTAAACCTCTCAGCCAATGAACAGCTAGATCTTTT